ATGCTTGTGAACTGTGCAGTAAATTGGAATGTGGGAAATATACTTGTAGGTGGTCTTGGGAGGGTTAGTGAAGTGGTGAAGGGTGAAGGGTGAAGGGACGGGTTGGCAGTCCGTGAAACTATGGGTGGTCTGATTGGAAAATGCATATAAATCGCTTGGAGGTTCAAAGCCTTGAGTAGTTGCCTTGGGAATAAATGACAAGGCCGAACGTCAAATTTCTATAAATGAGTATTGGGGTCTTGGAAATAAATGTCAAGGACCAATACGCTGGGAAGTCATCGGTACTTTGGGGATAAACGGCAAGGACCGGTGCACAGTTCAGGCCTTGGGAATAAATGGCAAGGTCGAACATCAAGTTTATGTAGAGGAGTATTGAGGCCTTGGGGATAAATGTCAAGGGCCAATGCGACTCGAGGAGTTAGGCTTGAAGGACTAAGGTAGAGTGGTGCTTGCGAAGTAGTGGTGCTAGGCCTTGGGAATAAATGGCAAGGTCGAACATCAAGTACTGTAAAAGGAGAGGGCACGGTGACTTGGGAATAAATGTCAAGAGCCGTCATGCCTCGAGAAGTTAAGCGGGGAGTAGCACAGGGGGGGGTGCAGAGGAAGGTTTAGTTCTATGAGAAAAGGGCTAGCGAATCATGGGTTGTGGTATTGGTAGTTTCGACGCTTGGTTGTTGTATGTAAATGTCAAGTTATTTGTTCGCTATCTCTCACTGCTTATTTGATTGCCTTGCTCTTGTTTTGTTCTAAATGTCAAGTTATTTGTTCGCTATCTCTCACTGCTTATTTGATTGCCTCGCTATTGTTTTGTTCTTTATGTTGTGACTGTGAGCATGATTTTTGTGCTAGTTAGGAAGTGCTACTTACGGAGTACCTTATGTACTCACCCCCCTTTGTACCYTTATATGTTTTCAGGTGTGAACGGGGTCGACCGCGGTGATGACGTGGAGAGGGCTTGACCGAGGAAGGATCACTAGCTTAGTTAGTGAGGATAGAGGGAAGGGTCGTTGGGTACGAGTAGCCTTGAGATTTATGTTATTGCTAGGTGTGAACCGCGGAGGAAATTTTGTATTCTTTAGAACTACTTTACTTGTTATGGATGTTGCTGGTAAACGCGTCGTTGTTGTCATTGGAGTTTAGGTGCACGGTTGTTTTTATTTAATTAAGAATTTTTGCCACTGAGGCGAATATGAGATGTTGTTGTTTTTAAATTGCCCACGGAGGGTGAAGTCCTGACAGTTTATGACATTTATATTTCTGAAAGAACGTATGGGAGTCGAAGCTTTATATCATCTAAATTATTTTACAGGGAGTTGCTTATCTCGTGTTTAGAGTTAAGGTTAGCCAGGAGAATTATTTAGCGTTGCCTAGGATGTTATATGAAATCTTGGGGCGTTACAAGAGTTCAAATTGTTGTTGAGATTAATGAAGATAAAGATGTTGCTTGGTTTTTTACTTTGGTTAAGGATGACAGCACAAGAAATCCTTTAGTTGCTCATGTAATTGCTATGCTTTTGGAGGAGTCTAGTGTTATTAATTTTGGAAGTGAGAATTGAGGTCTGGTAAGTCTATAACGATGTTGATATTACTAGTATGTCTTCTACACTTCATCTAAAGGAGAAGAATCTATTTACAAATAAGGAAGTTTTGTCAAAAGCTTTTCACTTTATGGCTATAAAGAATAGCTTTCAGTTCAAGACTTTGAGATCAAATTTCAAATAAGTTGAGTTTAAATGTATTCAGAATGGCTGTCAATGGTATGTTAGAGCATCTCGTTATAGAGGTAGTGAACTATGGATGATTAGAAAGTATGTTAGTGATCATAATTGTCGTATGAACATAGTTCAATCTTCTCATAGACAAGCTTCATCATCTTTTATTGGTTAATGTATGGTTGAGAAATTTGGATTTAGTTCTTCTGACCGTTCGACTCCGAAAGTTATCATTCATCATATGCGCACAAACTATGGAGTTGCTATCAGTTATTATAAAGCTTGGAGGGCAAAAACAACTGTTAATAAATTGTTGACAGGAGATGCTGATGATTCTTATGCATTGATTCCAAAAATTTTTGTGAAGTTGAAAGAACTGAATCCATGTTTGTTTTCTTTAATGATATACCAATAATATATGCTTCTGATATACGTGTAATATGTATGAGATGATCTATCTTCTTGATTTAATTACGATGTACGTGTTCTGATATACTATTGATATACTAATGATATATATTTGATTATATTACGATTATAATATCTGATTTTGATATCTTGACATGTTGTTGTGATATATTACTAATATATTTGACGTGTTGATGTGATATATTATTGATATATTTGACATGCAATGATATACTTTTGACATAGCATTTATATTATTTTTGTAGGTATATACACTGCATATGAAATTGATAAGACTAGACATTTTAAGTATTGTTTCATGGCTCTAGGTGCATCTATTGAAAGTTGGAGGTATTGTAGACATAATATATCTATTGATGGGACATTTTTGACGAGCAAATATGGTGGTACACTATTGACTGCCTCAACGTGCGATGATAACAATCAGATGTTCCCTCTTCCTTTTGGTATAGTAGATTCAGAAAATGATGTATCATGGAGATGGTTTTTTCAAAATTTAAAGAAACAGTTTTGGAGATCGAGAAGGGTTAGTTATCATTTCTGATCGCCAATTAAACATTGGAAAAAGTGTTCTAAAGATTTTTCCACATGCTCAATATTGTGTTTGTAAGCGATATCTGTTGAAGAATTTGAAGTTGTCATACAATGACTCCTTGATTGATAGACCTTTTGAAAACTGTGCCAAATCCTACACAACTAATGATTTTGAGTTAAATATGAAGTTGATGGAGTCAATATATCCTACTACAAGAGAATATCTTAGTAATGTTGGATTTGAGAAATGGGCTCGTGCACACACTAAAGAAAGAATATATCAAATGTTGACAACTAATATTTCTGAGAGCCTCAATGCAACTTTGAAAGAGTCAAGAGATTTACCTGTGGCATCACTACTTGATTCAATTAGACAATTACTTCAAAGGTAGTTTTATGATAGAAGCAAATCAGCATCTTCTCTGAATAGTTTTTTGAGTCCTTGGGCTGAGACTGAGATACGGAAACAATTTAATGAATCCAAAAGCTTGATGGTAAGTGTTTTTACTTTTGATTATTTAATAATGTTTATTTTTCTTTCACAACCTATTTATTATTATTATTATTATTTCTTTTTTCAGGTTGATCATATCAACAACGTTGAATTTCAAGTAATTCATAAAGCGGAGAATTTTTTGGTAAATTTGGGTTCTAAAAGTTGCACTTGTCGTGTTTGGGATTTGGAAGAAATTCCTTGTGCTCATGCACTTGCAGTTATTTGTTGGACTGATTTGAATCCTTATTCATATGTGTCTGAGTATTATCTGTCTAGTAGATTGTTATTTACTTATAATGGTTCAATTCGTCCTGTTGGTAACCATTTGGATTGGGGATCTGTAGCAATTGATGTTAATGTATTACCTCCTATCATTAAATGTCCAGCAGGAAGGCCTCGAAAACAAAGGATTCCATGGATTGGTTAGGTGAGAAAGCACACTGCGGACGTTGTCAACGTGTTGGACACAATCGTAGAGCTTGTAAATTTGCACCTATTGAACAAGGATGTATATCAAGGATGTATACAAAAACATTGCTTTTATGATTTGAATTTATAATGAAGTAGTTTCTTTGTTACAACACAATGTGTATACCCAATGGAGTTTACTTATATGATTTTGCTTCTGTAAGTTAAAGTTGATGACATAACTTAGATCATTAGATTAGCCTGTATATCAGAATTATATCAGTTGTAAAGCTATATATCAGTAAGATATCAGTAGTAAATCTATATATCAATAAAATATCAGTAATATATCAAGTATACATCGTACATATATCAGTAGTACAATTAAGTTTGATTTAAAGTTTTAGCCACTTGGAGCGATAAATAAGTATTGCAATAGCCAACTAAGATGTATCAAGGAGAAGTAATATCAATATGAACTCAAAAAGTTAAAGGTTTAAACATCAAAATGAACTCAAAGGTATTCATATCAAAAGAACATTGCCCCAAGAAAATTGGCATATCAATTAAAAGTAGAAGTATAAAGTAGACTAACAATGTCCTTTTCAAAAGTCTATAAAAGTAGAAGTATGAGTTCCAAAAGTCTAGAAAAGTAGAAGCAATTTCCAAAAGCACAAGTTCCAAAAGTTTTTCTTTCTTGATCATTGAGTAATCTTCCAGTCAAAACTTAAGCAATCATGAACAATCTTCGTTCTCAATGATTGTCGCGTCTTAGAAGATGATATTTTTGCAGGTTTTCTTTTTTCCATAGACAACACCTTTGGAGTTGGTTTATGCTGTCTTTTGGGACGCACAACATCAATCTTTTCTGCAATGACTTTAGTTTTCATTTTCCTTGTTTGGACCATTGTTTTCATCTGAAAAAAAAGTTATTTGATATATTAGCAGTATATTAAAAAACATATTAGAGGTAATATATTTGAAATAATTTGTAGATATCATATTTATAACAGAAGTAAATCAGTTCTATATCATATGTATATCAAACATATATCACATACATATTAGGAATATATCTGTCAATCACTAGTATATCAGAAGTAAATAAATAGTATAGTAGAAATCAATCAGTTATATATCATATATATATCAAGAGTATATCAAGAGTATATGTGCAAATTAGTAGTATATTAAAAGTAAATCTGTAGAAGTCAATAAATCAATAGTATATCAGAAGTCAATCAGTTCTATATCTGCTATATATTAGTTATATAACCGTAATTAATAGTATATCAGAAGTCTTTATAAGTTATATATCAGTATATATCAGCTGTATAACAGTAAATCACTATTTTACGTGCTTGGACCCTTTGTCGTGGATTTTTTTTTATCGTTTCTCTATATTTTTCTGTAAATAAAAATCATCGATGACTCTCAATGAGTGAATAACACGAGTAAATGATTAATAAAACTAACTATTGTCTCACTATACTTACAATTTCATCTTCATTAGCTTTTTCCTCTTCTTTGTCTTCTGCTCCTTCTTGTTCTTCTTCCTCACTTGATTCTTCTTCTTAATTCTCATCGTCTTGTTCATTCTACTAATAAGAAGCATTTCAAAGATAAGAAACGTAAATCAATGTAAGAAAAGTAAAGCAATTTAGATTTACCTCTTTTTCCTTTTCTTTTCCTTTCCCATCCTGATCTGCATCCTCTTTCTCATGATTGGTTGGATATTCCACAATTTTATCAATATCTACTTCTTCATCAAGAAGCTCAAGACTTATCGATGGAGGTACGTTCTTCTAAAGTGATTCTTGGGATTGTTTTTCAATATTTGATTTTGGTGGAAATCTATCATTGATTACTTCAATATAGAAGTCAACATCCCCAGCATTTGTTTCTGGACACTTCTAATTTCTTGTATTTTGTTAGGGTTGACTTTTTACTATAGAAACATGTGTCAGTAGCCCTGTTTGACCATGTATTTGACCCCTTTTCCATCATTATTTGCCAAAAAGGACCACATATTCTTAAAGTAAAACATGCATAGATTGTTTCTGCATAAAAGTCAAACTATGGTACTTTAGGAAAAATATGAGAAAAATGTAGTCAAAGTTGGAAGAAAATAACGGAAATATGTTTTTGTAGAATTGGGCCTGATGCATTTTTGGAGGACAAAAGGTCAAAACGCACGTTTTGATTAATGAAGGGCAAGGAGGACATCTCCCACATGCTAAAAACCGTGAGTCCAAGTTCAAGTGAGGTGGTTAGGTGAATCTCAACCCATTTCCACCTAAAATGGAGGGGAGTTTCAACCAACCTCTATGGTGTTATAAAAGGAAGCCATCCCTCCATCAGCAAACCTTCCAAGCTTCATTTCATCTTCTTTTAGTTGCTCTCTAGTTGTAGAACACGTTTTTAGGGTTTACGTTTATGTTCTAGTTGTTCTTTGTTTATTTTTCACGCTTTTACCTTTTGTTTTGCTTTGAATTCAAGTTCTTACTCCCGTTCTTTGTTCATTATGTTCTTTTAAAGTTCTTAAGCGAGTTTCAACTCTCCTCACGCTCGAGAGAGAAGAGGGTCAAGCTACAACTCCTTGTATGGCTTATTTATTCATTTAAATTCAATGAAAAATACTTTCTTTATGTTTTCGTGCATTTACTTTCATTTAATTATGTTCTAAATTACTTATAAACCTCCTTGTGAAATGCCTTAGTCAAATGATTTGATTTTCAATACGCTCGGGGTTTGTCCAGAATTGCGCCTCGCACTTTTTTGGGTTGGTTTCTAAAAACTTCTCTTTAAATCTTTTTTCCATTCGGCCGGTAGGAACTTGATTTATACACCAAAGCCTAACCTTGGAAAAGGTGAGTTAGGTAAAATAATAGGAAACCAATATGGGATGTCACTTAGGCATGAACGCATAAAACATGATCCTAGACATAGGCCATTTGACCCATAATGCAAGTGAGTTGGTAGATATTATCTAGGATTGTAATCACACATAGACATATGATTGTAGGTTACCCTAGTCTCTGCATCAACCAAAATCGGTAGTGAAAGAGTAGAAGTCAGTTTCTCAAGAAAAGCCAGAATTGCATCTGGTGCATTTTCCCATCATAGTATGTTTTCCATATTTTGCATCAAAACTAAGGTAGGAAGAAAAGAGGCTGAGTTGAAATGGAGTCCCAATTTATGTAAAATCTTCCGATGGGAACTAGCATGCCCATAGCTCCTGTGAATCAATTATGTTGTTTATATTATTGAGATATTCGTTATTCATTGGAATATTGTCCATCTAATCCTTCATCTTTTTATTATCCAGGTCAACAAGGGAACCAATAAGAATTCAACCGTTATTCAAATCCATACAACCAAGATTGGAGGAATCATTTGAATTTCCCGAGGGCAGAGCTTCAACCTGAAAGTATATTCCATCTGTATGAGCATGCATTCCCAACAGAATTCCCGTCACAACCACAACAGGAGTATAATCAACCATGGATGCCAGAACAAAGCAATCATCGGAGATTTTTAGGCTTGAACAGACTATGATAGACTTTTTGGTGAGAATTGATGAATCAATACGCAGGCTGCAAATCCAAGTGGAGCTGATGGTTGATGAGCTGCGGAATAGTCCACCAGAAGCATTTCCTAACAATGAGCAAGATGAAGCAATCAATATATTGATCAAGGTTGAAGATGACGAACTTGAGCTGCCAATAGACAATGATGATCTACCAATCCCTGAAGTGATAAACGAGGTATGGAAGAATAAGGAAGTTGAACCCGAGAAACCGATAGAGGTAATGGATCATGAGGTTACAATGGACCTAAACCCATCACCTCTAAATATTGGACCACTTTTCCCTTTCCCTCGATGCCTTTAAAGATAACCCAAGACATAAAGAAGGAAGAGTTGACCAAACCTGTAAAGGACGAAGTAAATGAAGAACTAGGAGAGGATGAGATAGGTTCAGATGAAGGGTTCTACGTTAAAGTTTCACCCCACATTCCAATTTTAAAAAACCAATGCATACAAGTAAGTCACCTACTCCTCGAGCTGGACTTTCAAGCATATTGTGCTTTGAAGAAGTGAAACTATGACATGACAGTAGTAGAATAGAGGTTGAATGAGCTTGAGGAGAATAATTGAAAGTTGAAAGCCTCTAACGTTCTATAAAGTAAAATCAGTAGGAGGGAAGTTTGTAAATTACTGTCATGCTTGTTTACTTTTCAACCTTTTTATGTTCTGAACGTTTTAATAATTTTATTTTCTTAGTACAGGGCTGAAGTACCTAAGAGAATAAGCAAAGTTTGTATGATAAGAATAAGAATTCGGCACCTGAAGACTCGGTATTGTTATTTGATTCTTGGTCAAGGCTGTTTCTAGGTAAGTTGAAATCTATATGGTCAGGTCCATTCATAGTTGAACATGTTTATCCACAAGGAGCGGTGGATTTTAAGAGGCTCCAGAGGTAATATTGTTAAGGTAAATGGGCATCGAGTCAAGAAATATTATGGTGAGTTTATTGACAGAGATAAAACGTCTGTATTACTGAAAGACCCGTGAAAAAACAGTGGAAACAGTCCCTCGGGCAATTTGGGGGGCGTTCTTATGTAAAATATTTTTGTCTTGTTTCTGCAAAATTTTTACATTTTCTTTAGGTCTTTTTTGTGTAGATTCCGAATCTAATTTTTGTTTTTGCATTTGAATTGTGCAGGATCAAGATCCGACCCTCGTCAAAATTGCGCTGGTGCAATTTAAGGGAAAAAATCGATTTTTGAGTTATGGATTAGGGCTTCGTGGGCTTTATGTGGGTTATGTTTAAATAGGCTTTCGGTTGTTTTTAAATAAAAAAAGCCCAATTTTAAACCTTATTATTTTTTAATATGTTTAAAACATAAAACAAAAAGCCCTAGGATTTCAAATTTTCTCCATTCACGATTTTCACCAAGATTTTATCACTTGTTTTCAAATCTTCTCTCAAGAAATCTCAAAGAATCTCAAAGTTT